TTCTGTACTGAATTCATACTCTTTAATCAAGGAATTGTTGCTAATCACTATTTTTGATAGTTTGAAATCAAAATTCATTAAAAAATCTAGGATTGTTAGGTGTGCGGTTGAAGTAGTTTGAAGGTGTGCGGTTCTAATTTGAAGGTGTGCGGTTGTACTTTGCAGGTGTGCGGTTGTACTTTGAATGTGTGCGGTTGAAGTAGTTTGAAGGTGTGTGGTCAGGTGTTCGGTCAGGTGTGCAGTCAGGTGTGCGGTCAGGTGTGCGATCAGGAGTGCGGCCAGTGTGTGCAGTTGGAGTGTGCAGCCAGTGTGTGCGGTTGTAGTGTGCAGTCAGTGTGTGCGGTTAGAGTGTGTTGTTGCAGTGTGCGGTTGTAGTGTTTGTGGTTACACTCATTCAAAATTTTAAACATAGAATCTCAAAGCATGACTGCTCATCAAGAATTGGATGTAATTATGGGGACTACTACTCGAATTCCCGGATTGCTATCAGCAGAAGGATTTCCTAAATGGGAATATCGTATAATATATCAAGATGAAGGATTTCAAAATTTAGATAAGTATTTTGAGAGGTTCGATTCGTATTACAACAGTTCTAGAAGATGGCACTATAGCTGACAAACAAGTTGAAAACTACACTGATGACGATTTTGAAAGAGTCGAGGAACAAGAAAAGGCACTTGCTACACTTACCATGGATTTATCTCCAGAGATTGCTCAAGGATTTCATGAGTATACATTAGTAAAGGCTCTGTGGAAAGCACTGATAGAAGTCTATGAAGGCAACGAAGACATGAAACAAAGTTGCCAAGACATGCTGCGATAGAAATTCAATATGTTTAACTATGTCTTGGGAGAAACACTGGAAAATCAATTGCAAAGCTTTATCACAATCACCACATAAATGAGCTCTCCCGGTGTAATGGTTACAAGATTGGTGATCAACAAAAAGCTGCTAAACTCCCTTCCAAAATCCTAGGATATGAATGTCTTGGTGATTAAGAAAACTAAAGACCTGAACCGATTGAGTTTGGCCGAAACAATGGCTATCATCAAGGTGTGTGTTATGGATGACAAACAAAGAGAGATCAACCATGTCAATTCATACTCCACAGCTAATCTTAGAATTCAAAACAACAACAACAACACCGCTTTCTCAAGCTTCACTACTCATCAAGCTCCTCAAGCCCATGTTCCTCAAGTTCAACCCTATGTAACTCATCAACCTATATCATACGCTATACCTCAAATGCAACAAACTGAAGTTCCTCAATCTCAAACCTTAACTCATCATGTTGGTTCTAGTATCGGTTCATGTACAGCTACTTCAGTTCAATCTCATGGAATCAGTACTCAAGCTTCATCTTCAAACAAAAAGGAAGACAATTTGGCTCTCGCTACTAGTTTAGTAAACTGTTACAATGCTTTTGTGGCCGGAGAAATATGCCCACAACTCTCATTCGATGACCTTGACCAGATCCATCCTGAGGATGTTGAAGAGATGGACATTACGTGCCAAATGCCCATGGCGGTTTTCAGGGAAAGCAGTTCTCCAAGAAAATAGGAAAGAACAATTGGAGTGTAAATTCTGACAAGAAAGTGGGATTTAATAAAGGAAAACTGCGATGTTACAATGGTCGTGAGTCGAGGCGCTTTGCAAGGGAATGTCCAAAGCCAGATCGAAGAGAAAATTCTGACCGAACTATGGTGCCAATAACTTATGTTAACAAAGGATCATCTTCAAACAATTAGTTTGCTAACTTGGCGATGGTGGCCCAATCCTTTAGTTGGGAAGATCAAATTCAGATCCTAAACATTTCGGGACCTGAAAATGCACATCTTGCCCAAATCAAGGATGTTATGGGAGGAGAAACCGAGAGAGACCCAGAAAAAGAGATGATGAATCTTCAGTTTGCATTCATGGTGCAAACCACTCCAGAACCTGTCAAACCCGAGGTTAGTGAATTTGGTTGTTCTCAGTCTTGTATTAAAACTGTTAAATTTTTGCGAGATCAAATTGAAATAATCAAAAGAGAGAACGAGGACCTTAAATATGAGGGATACACACTTAGAAAAAATCAAAAGCCCTTAAAAACTCAATTAGAAAATAAAACAAAGTACTTTAAGAAATTGCAAGAGGATTACAGCAACAAATGTGAGAACTATGATCATCTCAAAAGAAAATTTGTTGTTGTAACCGCGAAACTTGACACATTGAAAAATCGTTTTGAAAATGCTAAATTTAATTTTAAAAAATATGATGGGTCAAGTGAAACTATTGCAAAAATGATCGAAGGCAAATGCACTAGAGAGATATTACTCAGGGAAATCAGATAAAAGTTGGACTAGGATTTGATAGTGTCCCCCCTCCCTTTAGTCATAATTACACTGCTATTCCCTTGTCTCAAAAAGAAATTGACAGAGAACCTTACATGGTATATGGAAAGTCAGCTTCTGAGCAGGCAATACAGTCAAATTATAAAATTTTGGATACTAACATTTCTACCTTAAGTGCAGATGTGTCAGTAGTTCAAGGGGAGCATGAAGCTGAAAAGTTGGAGTCAAATAATCACGTGTTTAAGTTTGGTGTTGAATTCTGTGATGAGTATGTGATAAATTCAAACGCTAACAATTTTATTTCTGGTGGTGTGTTGTTTCAGACTGATAATTTTGAAAATAATGGTGTTGTTTCGGATAAAAATCCTAAATCTGATTTGAATGCTTCTACATCTTCCATGTTTGCTACACCATCTAGTACATGTTCCTGCAAATGTGAAAATGCTAGAAAACATAATAAACACGTGAAATCTGATAAGAGTGGTACTCAATCCAATGATAATAAACATATTTGTTTCAATTGTGGTACTCCTGGTCACATTGCCAGAAATTGCTTAAATCGTGCATCACTTGTCAAAAAGGGGAGAGAATGAGTCTCGAGGACGATCTTTAATTAGAAAGTACTCAAGAACTCGATCTCGAGATGATGACTGGAAAGAAAAACAAAATACGAATTTGGAAGTTTTTCAAAAGAACAAACAGGTTTTTCATAAATTCACAAACAGTTTGTCAGAATCGACCCAAGCCAAATCTAAGTTAATTTCGTCAACAAGAAGCCTTGGATCTTCTAACTCTTCAAGTAGAAAATCCGTCTTCTCAAAGCAAACTGAAAAGAAAATTTTTCAAAACCTAAATATAAATGGATGCCAAAATTAAAATCTGCTCACTCATCATCCTCCTCTGTATCTGCTGAAAAAGAAAACTTGAAAAATGAATCTGTGAAAGTGAAGGGTCAACCCAGGACTGTGATGACCTGGGTCCCCAAATCTAAATGATTCCGCTCATCGTGCAGGGACAGTTGCGGAGGAATGTCGTCAGACCCTGGTATGTCGACAACGGCTGCTCCCGGCACATGACTCAAGATATATCCCAACTGCGCGACATTCAGACATTTAATGGGGGATATGTCTCCTTCGCGGGCGGTGAAGATGGAAAGATAACTCAGAAGGGAACAGTTTGAAATGGAGTGCTAAGTTTTGAGAATGTTAACTATGCCCATGAATTAAAGCATAGTTTGTTAAACGTATCCCAAATTTGCTACAAAGGCTACTCAACTCACTTCACAGATAAAGAATGTATGATCTTAAAGTCGGGCATTGTCATTCCGAAACAGTGGATTCTCGTCAAATCAAAGTGGGATGGGAATGCCTATATTATCGACATGAACAACAATGTACCTGATGAAGTCACTTGTCTCTTTTCCAAAGTCTCCGAACAAAATGCAATGTTGTGGCATCGTCGACTTGGGCATGCAAATGCAAAGAATCTGAATCATATTGCTAAGAACAAAATGGTCTATGGTCTTCCTGTCAGAGATTTTATTACTTTTGAAAAATGTGTTTCCTGTGCTCAAGGCAAACACCATCGGAAACCAAATCTGCCAAAGCAGGTCAAATCCATTAGTCAGGTGCTCCAATTTTTGCATATGGACTTGTTTGGTCCGGTCAACATCCTCAGCATCAATCGAAATTCATATTGTCTCGTTGTCATAGACGATTTCTCTCGTTTCACGTGGGTCTTCTTTCTGTCCAATAAAGTTGGGATCATCGATCTTATCAAGAATTTCATTGTGATGATAGAGAACCAAACCAACCACCAAGTGAAAGCGCTTCGTACATATAATGGAACCGAATTCAAGAACACTGTTCTTGATCATTTTTGCGCTGAGAAAGGGATCGTGCGTCAAATTAGCTCCATCCGAACACCACAAAACAAAGGTGTTGCTGAACGGAGGAATTGAACACCGCAACACACTGCAAGGACGATGCTTTGTGATTCTAAACTTCCAGTTTTCTTTTGGGCGGAGGCGATCAACACAACTTGTTATGTTCAAAACTGTGTCCTGATCAACAAATCCCAGATGAAGACACCATATGAGATCCATTATGGATGCAAGCCATCTATCAGCCATTTTCGAGT